GGAGCCGCAGCGGCTGCTCGGAAACTTTGGCCTTTTAACTTCTCCGGAAGTGAGACCTAGGATCAGAGGCAGGTTGATGGATTAGAATGGGAAACGTCTCATCCTCTGGCTTCTAACCTCGATTGGTGCTGGAAGTCTTCTTGTTTTGTTGTTACAGAAGGCCGATCTCTTTCCATTCCAAAGTATGCGATTTCATATCGCCCCTTTGGCATTTGCTCGGTTGAGTGACCGCGCTGACCTCTGCCGGTCACGTGGTCGGTGTCCGTGTGGCGGAACGTGAGTCACGTGACGGTGACGTGGCAGACGGCCGTCTGTTTCACCGCTCCGACCGCCGAGAGACGGGAGCGGCGGCGGCGGCGGCAGCGAGCGCGACATTTACATGGAAATGGAATGGCGCTCCGGTGGCGATCGGTGGAGCCTAACGGAGTCACCGCGGCGGCGAGACGCGCTGGAAAACGCAGCAGGAGCGCCAGAGAACGGCGCTGGAGCGTCCCTTTCGCCGCAAAGGCGCGGCACGGCTCGAGTGGAGGTGCTGAGGGATACAGAACACTGAACAGTGAAACGTCAGTCGCTCACTCAGCAGGCTAAAATGGGCACGATCGTCTGTTCTCAGTTGGTCCTAGGAGCTCGAGAGGCTCTTTCGTCTATGGGGACGTGCCTGATCACGGTAGAACATAACTCGTGTCAGGCGTGTTATAATGGGCAGCACTCCCATCAGCTCATTCAAATACCTTTTTATGTCCAGAACGAAAGGGAATGTTTAGGCACGCGTCGGCTGTACAGATGAACCATTAACCCTCGCCGGCACAGGCCATTTTGAGTCCTTCGACGGCACAAGGGGGGGGGGGGGTGGTACGACCCCCCTCGCGTTTGGCCCCTGATGGAGCTAGAGCTTCGCGGAAAAACGAGCGTGTTGCCCGTCACAATAGGAAGCCAATGATACCCAATTTTAAGGTCCTAGGTCATCGGTTGACCTTCCAGGTCAGGTCAATGACCCAAAAATCGGGAATATCGGGACCTGTTAGAAAGTCGTAAAGCGTGGCTGCTAAGGGGTTTTCCGGGGTGCTGATCACGAATATCGTGTTAGTTTTGATCACAGATGATTTCGCTAAGCGTTTAGACTAGGTCGGGTCAGGTCAGGTCAGGTCAGGTCAACCGGTAGGGGTCGTGGCGGGTATTCGTAGTACCTGTCATCCGCCTCTGACAGCTTCGTAACATGTTACGAAGGCACCAAAACTACTTCGTAAGTGTTCAAATGCTTGCTAAATAATTCGAATTCAGCTCCAAAAACTAGCCTAGAAACATGTAAAACTCGAAAAAGTGAACCGAGGTCACCAAAGGTCAATGACCTTACCTGACCTTCGGGTGACCTTAACACCCACCCTAATGCATGGGAGCAACATCAAATCACATGTTTCAACGTTTGAAACCACGAAAAGCTTGCAAACGCGCGGCTAATGCGAGCCGACATACGCCGAATCGCGATTTCGGCCAAACATGGTCACGGAAAAGAGGTCACGGGTCAAAGGTCATTGGGGTCAGGGTCATGAAATTTTCAGGGTAGGTGTAAAATTGATCAATGCGAGGGTGCTGAAAGCTTCGTCGCGATCAGCCGCTTTTTACGCGAGTTATTCGCGAAAAACCTTAGGGGGGGGGGTGGCATCAACCCCCCTGTGCCGGTGAGGGTTAAAGCATTAGCTCCATCACTACCTACTATCTGGCACCTCAACCTATATTAAACATGTAGTTTAAGATATTCAATACATAACAAAAACTGCATGCATAACATAATTAGGAAAACATAATAAAGCAAGATAACATGACTTCTTCCGCTATTGATGATGCCTATTACATACCTATAACAATAGCTTGCTATTAGTGTAATAGGTAATAGGAAAAAAAAAACAAAAGTCAGCTATGTCACAAGAGACCTACCTATTGGACAGCATTGACCACGAACCGGCACATCATTTCTAATATCTCTACGCAGTGTTTTCGGAATTGTGCCCTTTTGAAGGGTCGTGTCAGTTTCTAGGCATCTTTCAACCCATTTTTGACACTATAGGCATAAGCGTAACTTTATATCTCTTTGTGGGTGCTCAAGCACCCCCAATCCTGAGCTCAGCACCCCCTGCCTTCTCAAAGCACCCCCAGCCTCCTCAAAACATTCCCAGCTGACTCAAGGCCCTCAATAATCAGAATGTCCATCTCCTAGTACTGTAATGAGCCCAGTGAATCATGCAAATACTATGCTTACTCAATTCAGTGACTAAGAGAATATACATTGAATAAATCACCACAAATTAAGATACATGACATTTGTGTTAACATTACATCTGATATTATCAGGGGCCCGGGAACCATTTTCAAGTTGGGGGGGAGCCTAAAATACCTGACATGATGCATATGAAACAGTGGCATAGCTAGGGGTCTAAGGGGACACGTACCCCCTCCCCCCCCCATCGAGTTCAAAGGGACCCTCGGGTCCGAGAGGCCCTGCGGCGCCATTTGACCGCTGAGGGTTAACGATGGCCATATTTCTACTCAGAAGGGCCCGCTCGTTAGAGCACCTCATGGGCCCTAAATAGCCACACTAAGGTCTCCATAAGGGCCCCACGCCGACTTCTGAGGGCCTCTTGCGGCTTTTAAGGACACCTCGGTGGTCTTCAAAGGCCTGTTAAGCCTGAAACAGACTCTTCCCGCAGTCAGGAAATCGCATGCGAGAGCCTATTCAAATACATGGAAGCACGCTCGCATCAATCGCACGCACCTCCCGCGAGCGATTGATGCGAGAGGAATTACAATGTATTTGAAGAGGCTCTCGCATGCGATTTCCTGAACGCGGAAAGAGTCTGCTTCAGCCTTTACTGGCCTCTGAGAGGTCTTACCGGCCTTTGAGGGGACAGTTCTAGGGGCATTTCCTACCTGTGATGGTCCCACACTTATTTTTCTAAGGGCCCCATAACGGCAACTGTTGGGCCCTCGTCGGTGCCTATGAGGGCCCACACTGGTGTCTGAGGGTTTCACACCCCCAAATCTGAGTGCCTCACCAGTGCCTAGTAAAGCCCTATTTCGGCGGCTCTGAGGACTCACCCAACACCTGTGCATCTAAAGGCCACCCACTGATGACTTGAGGGCCCCACCGGCGTCTGACAGTACCATGCCGGTCTCTTAGGACCCCGCAGGACTTCTTCTGCCGGCCTAAGCCCTAAGGACCCCTTGCCGGTCACTGAGACCCCCTGCCGGCTTGTAGAGAGTTCGCGTCAGCAGCTCTAAAGGCCCCACACCCGTCTGTAACGGCTCTACACCAGCGTCTATGAGGGCCCGGAGCAACGCCTGTAAGGACCCTCATCGGCGCCTCTGAGAGAATCACACTAGCACCTCTGATCGTCCACACCGGCACCTGCATGGCGGCCCCACACCGGTGCCTCCCTTACCGGCGGCTCTGAGGGCCTTACGCCGGTGATTCTGAGGGTGCCACCGATAACTGAAAGCACCACACAAGCCCTTAGTGTAGCTGAGCTTTAATCCCATACCGGCCCTCCGAGGGCGCCACGTCAGTGCACTCATTGCCCCACATCCCTCCCTCACACCCGGAGCGGGTAAACTGTGTTATACCTATAGCAACGATTTTACCACCGTTGTACATTATGTATTTCTCAAAGTTGACTCAAAATGGTCCAGTACCAAATCTGGCCTGCCAAACTTATGGCCAAGGTCAGGCCCAAACACGTTTTGGGCAATCAGTCTCAGTCCATGACTCCATTCTTCGGCAACTATACGGTGCAAGGCCGATACTGTAGAAACTTGCAATTTGTACCCTTGACCTGACCTTGACATTGACCTCAAACTTTAAATTAAGTACATGTTTTTAGTTATTCGTGATGAGATCTTTCGATTGGCGTTTGAATTTTCCAAATCGGACCATTAGTTCGGGAGATAACAGGGGGGTAAAATTTATCCCCCCAGCCCCGCGCGTTCGGCTGGAGACCCCAGCCCCGCGCGAGTTAATGCATTGGGTGAGCCAAAATTGTTTTACAGTGGCGCTATTAAAACATGCTCTCGAACCGATTAAACATCATTTCTTGCATGATGCCTGATGGCTACAGTAAAAAAGAACAGCTAAAAAAACTACAAAAACTATGGCATGCCTTTCTGAAAGCTATTGAGCACCCCCAATGATTTTTGGAAAACTACACCCATGACTATAGGTAATTATGCGAGGAACACACAATGCACAACACGTTCCAATTTTCATGTTACATAAGGTCGTGCGCATCTTCTCACGACTTATCACGAAAAATGTCGTGTTCCTTGACGTACCCAACACGGAAGTACTGGGCTGTTTCCGCCACGTTTTATCTTTCGTTCGGCTGGCTAATCGCTTGGCTAATTAGAAAAGCCTTGCAAGCGGGAGGTGGCCTCACAGAAGCGGCGAGTTTTTAGACATTTGCGGCGATAACAAGCCACGAACGTCTACAAGCACCCAAAAGCACCTAGCAGTCTTGCTAGCAGTGTGCGTGCTTTGAACAAATTGAAAACGCCTATGATAAATGAGCATTGAGCATGATGCAACTCATCCAGCGTCAGTGAGCTTATGTGGGTTCAACTTGGCGTTGTTTTTTACGATGTGATAAGTAATTAATTTCTTATCTACTTATTTGTAGGTTCTGACGTCAATTGACAATGGCGTTTATTCGAATCGCAATTAACTAGGAATGTCCGCTGGCTCCTTAGATAGTGGAACAAAGTGACGGTAAGCAGCCTCCAAACAATTAAGCAAAGTCGTACGCGCCTTGTACAATACCTTCACTGAATCCATCACACTTACCCCAAACCGCAAAATACGTGTGACACACCAGAACGCCACCAAAACAAGCCACCTACGCTGTCTGTGACCCGATTTCCCCGGCCGACGGCCTTCGGCGCCACCAGACCGAACCGCGCCGATGGCCGACGGCACTGGTCGCGCTCTGCTGACCCCGTCCTCGTCGTTCCAGGGGCCCACGCAGACAGTCGTCCGCGACCCGGCCATGGACTTCAATCCGTTCGGCAACGGTCACCACGGCACCAACGGCTCCGGCGCTGCCGACGGTGCCAATGGCTCCAGCGACTCGCACACCTTCGGCGTGGAGGCCTTCGGCGCGAAGCTCGGCTTCGGCTCGGGCCAGGCCAGCGCCGATCCCGACTCGCCGCTGAACCCGCAGGCCCCCGAGTTCACCCCGGGCCAGCTGAAGGCGTCCTTCGGCGGCGGTGACTCGGCCCACCTCGACCCGAGCGCGGCCGAGTTCGTGCCCTCGGGCGGCGCCGTGTTCGAGACAGAGGTGCCCGAGCAGTCGACTGGTGGCGGCCTGTTTAGCCAGCTCAGCGACGGACTGAACTCGGCCGCCGCTGGCCTGTCCTCGGCGGCCGGGTCAGCAGTCGACTCGTTCAACCAGTTCACCTCTGACGCCGGAGAGGGAGCGCAGACGGCGCTCGACTCGACCACCGAGCTGGCGCCGAGTGCTGCCGACAGAACGGCAGACGGTGTGGAGACGGCCTACGACAGCGCCGCCCAGCAGCTTCAGGGCGCGGCGGACCACGCAGCACAGGGAGTCGAGGCCGCCTTCGGCAAGACGGCCGAGGTAACCCAGGATGCCTACGACAAGACAGGTGAATTTGCTGAAGATGCTTATCAAAAGACGAGTGACTTTGCCGAGGACGCATATAAGAAGACGAGTGACTTTACCGAAGACGCATTCAATAAGACTGGTGAACTGGCCGATGATGCATACCACAAAACGAGTGAATCGACCGAAGACGCCTTCCACAAGACAAGTGACTTTGCTGAGCACGCTTTCGACAGCACCGCAGCTGTCACTAGCGACGCTCTCGGGAAAGTGTCTGAAACTGCGGACAACGCATTCGACGCGACTGCTGAGTTCGCTCGGGGCGCATACGACAGCGCCAAGACGGGCGCTGAGACTGCGTTTGACAGCACCACAGAGGCGGCTGAGACAGCGCTCGGTGCAGCGTCAGAGGGCACCAGCGCGGCCTACGAGCAGACCGCCGAGCTGGCTCAGAACGCGGCCAGCGGACTGGAGGAAGAATATGACCGAGCAGCACAGGGACTGAGCTCTACCCTGGAGAAAACGGCCGACGCTGCTGATACGGGCTACAACCGAGCTGCGGAGTATGGCGAGGAGGCCTTCGACACCATGGCACGAGGCGCCGATTCTGCGCTGGAACACGCCTCTCAGTTCGCACAGGAGGCGTTTGACGCACCGGCGCGGTCGGTGGGCGCTCCGTTTGACATCGGTATGACGGCCGAGGAGCTTGATGCCGCCTACGGCAAGACCGAGGACGTGGTGGAGAAGGTGGAGAAGGACGTCGAAGGCGCCCTCGAGACGACGGCCGAGAAGGCCCAGGAGACCGCCGACGAGGCCGAAGCAGCGACTAGCGGCGTGCTGGGCTCTCTCGCCGAGACTGCGACGTCTGCGTACAACACGGCCGCCGAGAAGGCATCGTCTGCGTTCGACACGGTTGCCGACACCACTGGCTCGGCGCTGGACGCTGCCGGCCAGGCTGCCACGTCGGCCTTCGACACGGCCGCCGAGACGGCGACCTCAGCCTACTCTACCGCCGCCGAGAGCGCCGGGTCCGCGTTCGAGGCGGTCAGCTCGGGATTCGGCTCTGCCTTCGACACAGCCTCGTCCACTCTCGGATCGGCGGTCGAGTTCGGCACCGACTCCGCCCAGACTGCCGTCGACAAGTCGGCTTCCTTCGCCGATGAGGCTGCCGACGCTGCAGCTGACGCGACAGAGACCGTGGAACGGAAGGTCGAATCTGCCGCCGCGTCAGCGACTGAAGCGTTTGACGTGGGTGCCGGCAAGGTGAGCGAGTATGCCGATGAAGCTGCCGAAGAGGTGCAGCAGCACGTGGACGAAGAGCCACTGGCCGAGCGTGCCGGCTCTTCGTTTGAGCCTGTCCAGGAGCGGCTCGGCAGTGCGCTGGAGGCGGCCGGCGACTTCGTCAGCTCGTCGTATGACGCTGCCGCCGCCGAGCTCGGATCGGCGACCGAAGTAGTCACCGGAGGCGTGCAGTCTGCCGTTGAGTCCGCCTTCGACACCGCGACTGCCGCCTACTCTGCCGTGGCTGATGGGTTTGGATCGGTGGCCACCTCAGCCGAGACAGAGCTGGAGAAGGCTGATGACACCGTCACCAGCCAGGTGGAGACTGCTGTCGACAAGACCGCCGCAGCGCTTGACTCGGCCGCGGGACAGATGGACGACACGCTGGACGCTACACTGGACGCCACAGTGGACGCTGACGCGACCTTGGAGTCGAGTGCGGTACTGGCCGGCGCTAACATCGATTCCGCAGTCGGTGGCGTCACGGCGGCGCTCGATACGGCTGCCAGTGAGTCAGCGGCGGCGATGGAGTCGGCAGCCGACCACGGACGCTCTGTGTTTGACACGGCCGCGGGCGACGCCGAGGACGCCTACCACAGTGTGACAAAGGAGGCTGCGGAAACGCTCGAGTCCGCTGCCGTCGCGGGCGAAACCCTGCTTGACTCAGCCGCAAGCAAGATGGAGACCTGCTACGACGAGGCGGCCGGCGCCGCGGAGGACGCTGCCGAGGCGACGGAGCGGACGCTCGACTCGGCCGCCGCTGAGGCGGAGACGGTGACCACCGAGGCGGCTTCGACACTGGAGGCGGCCTACGACCAGGCGGCCGACGCCGGCGAACAGGTGTCGGGAAGCATCCAGTCTGGAGTGGATGCCGCCGTCGAGAACACCTCTTCCCTGCTGTCGGCTGGAGTCGACTACCTCTCAGGCGGACTGCAGTCGGCTTACGATACCTCCGCTGAGGCCGTTCAGTCTGCCTACGACACCTCTGCCGAGACTACTAAATCTGCTTACGATACGTCAGCTGAGTTCGCTCAGTCAGCCTACGATACATCTGCTGAGACTGCCAAGTCTGCTTACGATGCCTCCGCTGAGGCTATCCAGTCTGGCTTCGACACCTCTGCCGAGACTGCTAAATCTGCTTACGATACGTCAGCTGAGTTCGCTCAGTCGGCCTACGATACATCTGCTGAGACTGCCAAGTCGGCTTACGATGCCTCCGCTGAGGCTATCCAGTCTGGCTTCGACACCTCTGCCGAGACCGCCAAATCTGCTTACGATACATCAGCCGAGTTTGCCCAGTCGGCCTACGATACATCTGCTGAGACTGCCAAGTCGGCTTACGATGCCTCCGCTGAGGCTGTCCAGTCTGGCTTCGATACCTCTGCCGAGACTGCTAAATCTGCTTACGACACTTCAGCCGAGTTCGCCCAGTCAGCCTTCGATAAATCAGCCGAGGCCGCCCACTCGGCGTACGATACCGTGTCTGGTGGTGCGGAGACTGCCCAGCAGGAGACGCAGGCGCTCGTTGACGACCTGTCCGACCCGCTACAGGCGGTGCGTGATAACGGCGAACAGTTCAGCAAGGTGATCACCGACTCTGTAGAGTCTGTGTCGGGTAGCGTGCCGGACACAGAGGACGTGGACGTCGACCGAGAGCTGGAGGTCAAGGGAGAGTCTGTGATGGAGCAGCTGAAGGACGGTCTGCAGTCGGCGGCCGACTCTGCCGCCGAGACGGCCACGTCCGCGGCCGACTTCTTGTCCCAGGGTATCAGCTCTGCGTACGAGACGGCAGCATCCGTCCTTCCTCTGTCCCAGGACACACAGGAGGACGAACAGCCCGAGCAGAAGTCTGACAAGAAGGCCGAGTCCGATGACGACGAGGCAGAGAAGGAGGCAGAGAAGGTGATCGAACAAGACACCGAGGAGCTGTCGCACGACATCCAGCGCGCTGCTGACGATATCGAGAAGTTCGTCGAGCACGCCGCCGAGACGCTGCAGGACGACTCTGAGGAGGCACGCGAGGCCGTCCGACGGATGGAGGAGGAGGATGTCTCCTCCGTCACCCCGCTGTCACCCGCCGAAGAGCTCAGCTCTGTTGCCGATGATGTCACCGATGAACTGAAGGAGACTGCTGCCGAGGCGGGCGAGCGGTTCGAACAAGAGGTGGCTGTGGATGTACACAGCTCACCGGCGGCAGAGGAGCCGCCTGCCCAGCTTGGAGACTTGGTTCGGGAGAAGGTGGCGGCGGCAGTGGACGCTGCTGAAGAGGCTGCTGAAAAGGCTGCTGAAGCTGTTTCTCCGGCAGTGGAGAAGGCTGGTGAGCTGCTGGGGACGGCAGGAAGCCCGGCTGAAGGTGACGTGACTGAGGAGTTCGAGACGATCGAGCAGAGCGAGGTGGAGGCAGTGCGCCGCGAGATGGCTCAGGAGGAGGAAGAGGAGCCTCAGATGGACCCGATTGAGTCCAACGAGCTGCTGCAGGCCTCCTTCCACGAGGACATGCAGACGTTCTCGCACCACAGCGCGGACATCCTCAGCCCCGAGCAGGAGCATTTCGATGCCATGGAGAGGGCGCTGGAGCAGGGAGACGAGGAGGTTGTCCCGGGAGGCTTTGTCTACCACACGCCCGTGCGCAAGCCCACTGAGCCACTGCTGCCAGAGATGTCTGAGCCGGCTGTCCCGGCCTCCGAGCCGGAACCTCAGCCGACTCCGGAGCCCGCCGCTGAGCCTGAGAAGGAGCCTGTCGTCGAGCCGGAGCCGGTGGTTGAGTCGGCGCCTGAGCCAGTCGCTGAACCTGAGCCGACACCAGAGCCGACCCCAGAGCCCGAGCCAGCCCGTGAGGCCTCCCCAGTGCCGGAGCCCGAGGCTCCTGTCGAGGCGGCCGCAGTCGCTGCCGACCAGGAGTCGGCTCCCCCTGCTCCCAAGGAGCCGGAGCCGGAGCCCGCTGCGGAGGACTCGTCTTTGTTGGCCGCCGCCGGTACTGCTATTGCCGCCGCCGGAGCCGCAGCCGTCGCCGCTGTCACCGGGGCTGCAAAGAAGGCCACCAAGCCAGACGCCAAGGCTGACAAGAAGGCGCCGACCGTCAAGAAGACCGGCAAAGAGCCACTGAAGAAAACTGTTGCTGGTAAGACCGACACCGGCAAGCCAACCGCCAAGCCTTCGACGACCACCACCGGAAGGCCGACCGCGGCGAAGACGACCACCAAGCCGGCCACGAAGACGACCACCTCTCGTCCCACCACGGCTCCGTCGAGCCGTCCGGCCACCGCAGCCACTACCGCCGCCAAGACGACCGCCGCGGCCCGCCCGCGCCCGGCCACAGCCACCACCAAGCCATCCACCACCGCGTCTGCCAGGACCTCCCTGGGGGCGGCCAAGACGTCCACCACGCCCACTGCGCATAAGACTACAGCGTCCACCACCAGCTCTGCCCGGCCGGCCTCGGCCAAGACGGCGGCTCGTACGCCCCTCAGTCACCGAACCACATCGCCGACTAAGAGCGCCTCTGCCACCGCGCCGACTACTGGCACCACCAAGACGCCGACCAAGCCCAAGCCGACAACTACCAGCGCCCGCACCACACCGACCACGGCTCGCACCACCACCTCAGCGCGCACCACCCTTCTCAAGAAGACGCCCACCTCGCCGACCAAGAGCGCCGACGGCAAGACGGCTGACGCCAAGCCGGCGACCAAGCCGACCCGTCCGAGCACGCTGAGCACCCGGCCGGTCGCCAGTCGCACCTCGACCACCAAGTCGAGCTCCACCACCGGCAGCAGCACCAGCCGCACCGGCACCACTGCCGCGGGCCGCACCGGCACCACGGCCACCAGCCGAACGGGAACCAGCACCACTCGGCCCACGAACGGCACCAAGACGGCTAAGGAGGCGGTCAACAGCAAGATCTCTGCTACGCTGAGCCACCGTCCGACGGCCGCCAGCAGCACCAAGACAGGAGGAGTCGGGTTCGGCACCAGAGTTCCCAGAGGTGAGATATCGGGAGAGGGGGGCTCCGTTCGTACCGCCGGCCGTTTGACCAGAGAGGTAGTGTCAGGACGGGTGATGACTGATGGGGCTATTGCTTGGTCTTGGGAATGGAATAGGCGTTTCACGAGGCTTTAATCTATATTATGATTTTTTTTCTAAAAGAAAAGATTTTCAGTCCATGCATTATATTCATTCATTCATTCATTCATTCACTCATTCATTCATTCATTCATTCATTCACTCATTCATTCATTCATTCATTCAATACATTAATTCATACAGTAAATTTTCATTAAAAACGTCACACATAATTGACACGAGCTGTATCGATATTGATATCAAAACGCCTTTATTCAATGCCTATTCAATAATGCGCCTAATGTGCTTTTAAAACAATCAATGGTCACGTTGACAACTCTCAAACTCTTCTCACCTCTAAGAGATGAGAGGTGATGAGAGGTAGCTATAGCTCTCATCACATTTAACATTTAACGTTCTGAGATAGCTGACATACGCCACAGGCCCAATAAGAAATCAAAGGACGTAGGTATGGTCTTTAAGTACCCACATGAAGACAAGTGAATGCTGGTACCCTCCCGACATACGATGCATTGTGAATGAACAAAACTTGTATGAATTGTGTGGACCGGAAGCCATGCTACAACATTCTAACTTCTAGCTTTGTCGTCTTCTGTCGGTAGCCCAGCTGAGCAGCCGTTACACTGGGAGGTCCTCTAGTGGGGAGTCGCATATGAAGAAGAATTGGCCTCCTCGCAAATGTTCACCACTAACTCTGCCCCCGTGTGCCCTCAGACGCGGTGAAAAAGGCTGCTCCTGGCACCACTGCCACTAAGACGTCCCCGCGGGCCCCGATCAGCGGCAGCCGAACCAAGCCGGCTTCCAAGACCACGCCGGGCAAGGCGGCGCCCATCAAGAAGGGGGCATCCCCGATCGTGGCCGAGACAGCAGCGCCGGTCGACAATGGCGGCGGACTGGAGAAGTTCACCTCCGAGGATGTGGTGATAGAGGTGGCTGACAAGCTGGCCGGCGAGACCAACGGCCACCACACCGAGCTGGCCAGCTTAGGAAACGGAAACGGCATCGATCACCACGCGGAGGAGCTGTCGTAAATCCCCGAAACGACACGGAGCATGTGATAGACTGGTGGCGGACGCGAGCGATGATCGCGTGACGGGAGTGTTCCGAGTGGTAGAGGTCGCCACGAGCGGCGACAGTAGCGTGCAGAGGTCGCCACGAGCGGCAGCGGCACCGGGCGAGGCCTGGCGAGCCGGGTGGCGCCCTCTGGGTGCCACCGGCCGCCCTGCATTGTGATATAAGCACGCAACGAACTGAGGGACACGAGGCTTGAAGCGCTTACTTTTAGTTTATTTTGGTAATTTATTGTGCGGCGAGCCCCATTCGGGGCAGCCGAAGAGCGTCTGAGTGTGTCACCTATATGGATGGGTGAGCGAGTGAGCAAACCGGCGCCAGAGCCACGAATCCGCCGGCGGATTGACGCCTGTCATATAGCGAGCGATGGGGCGTGCCTGCCCTGTATGCGCGGAGCTTATCGTTCCTGCATTCTTTACGAATGGCGCCGCGGAGCGCCTCTCAGATTAGACTGTATTTTTAGATTGTTGTCGAGTCTCGGTTCGGGGCGGGGGAGGGATGTGAGGGAGGGGCGCTGCCGGTGGCCCGAGCAGGGTTGTCGGCACGTCCACCTTTCGGTCAGGTCAGGTCAGGTCAGTGTGCGGCTTCTGGCCGCTCGCTGCCCTTCCGTTCCGAGCTGCTTGGCCTGTTTTATCCTGCGGCCGGTCGTGTTTGTGTTTCTGTCTGTCCGTCCGACCTGCCGATCGGCGGGCGCGGACCCGCCGTCACACGGGGAGGGCTGCTCTGCATATACTTACTCTGACCGGCGCCGCACGTCGGCCAGCCCGCGCCAGACATTCTCTGTGTGTTTTATTATGATTATTATTGCAAGGCACAATAAATCTTCCTAGTTTTCTTCATTTTGTATTAGTTCGAGTCGAAGAATCAATCAGCTGTATGGATGTGCTTACATATAGTACCTTCAAATAAAACTGAGTATAATATTGAGAACACCTACCGAGCTTTGTCGATCGTGGGACAGACATATGTCGAGACCGACAATCCCCTCTCTGGGACCGGGCTCTTGGGTCAGCATCTAACGACATTCTATAGCGTTACGTGATACAAGACATAATTGATAACGATGACGAGGCAGGCATGTACTCATAGTAAACATCGCGGAAGTCACTATACTTTTTTCGCTTTTTTCATTGCAATTTGCATAGGCCAGTAGGTATATCCAATTACCGCTCGCCACCGATCGCTCACAACATCAACAAAACTCACAACTCACGTGCTCTCAGCAGTCTGTTAGAGAAAGTCGCTCGGCGCCCGAACTGCGACTGTCGCAGTCTGTTCGATGCCCCCGGGATGTCATGCGCGGGGCCGGCCCTGTGCTTCCAGCTCAGCAGTGACGGCGGTTGGTTTCATGGCACAGAATTGCGGTGTCACGCCAAGGCGCGCTAGTCGTGAACTCACGAGGAGCCGATCGCACCGTCAGCGTGTGTGGAGTGGCGGATCGTCAGGTGCCGGGTGTCAATGCCCCAAGAAGATCGGCCGATCTCTCTCTCTCTCTCTCTCTCTCTCTCTCTCTCTCTCTCTCTCTCTCTCTCTCTCTCTCTCTCTCTCTCTCTCTCTCTCTCTCTCTCTCTCTCTCTCTCTCTCTCTCTCTCTCCGTCTCTCCGTCTCTCCGTCTCTCCGTCTCTCCGTCTCTCTGTCTCTCTGTCTCTCTGTCTCTCCGTCTCTCCGCCTCTCCGTCTCTCCGCCTCTCCGTCTCTCCGTCTCTCAGTCTCTCAGTCTCTCCGTCTCTCCGTCTCTCAGTCTCTCAGTCTCTCCGTCTCTCAGTCTCTCCGTCTTTCGTCACTCTGTCTCTGTATGTGTCTCATGTGTCTCTGTATCTGAATCTGTCTCTGTCGTTTGTCTCTGTCTGTCTGTCTCCGTATGTCTCTGTCTCTTTTCTTGTCATTGTCCCTTCCTACTTTTCTCCTTACCTCTCAGGGTTGAAATCCAGCCGAGCGTGAATAGAGGGTGGTGCGAATGGCGAGTGTCATGCATAGGAAAATAGTTTGACACGGATGTCAGCAAAAATAGTGTGGACGGATGGAAGTCTGAGACGGTAAGGCGTTGGTGAGGCGTGACAAGTCCGAAGGAGGACTGAAAACTGAGACATCAGTGAGAACGGCTCTGGCATGTGAATGCAGTGTATTTTTTTATGAATGAAGTGCGATATAATCTTACGTGTTTCCAACGTATAAAAAACAAGCACTTAAACCCTCGCCGGCCGAGGGGGAGGGGGGATGCCGCCCTCATACGTTTTTACACGATAGCTCGGAAGACGCTGGTGATAAAGAGCTGAAATTTCGCACGCCAGACTTTTGATTCAAACCCAATCTTGTGGCACCAATCGCATTTGCAGGTCAACTCAGGTCACTGACCTATGGCGTCATAAGTGAGCCTCTGCACTGTCCTAAGCTAAGAGGTTGCAATTTCGTAACGCCCTCAGTGCCAGAGAAGTTTTCGAGTGGGTGAAACTTACAGTGCGTAGTATCCATCATAGGCCCCTTACTTGTATGCCTCGGATTTTTTTCTAAGGGTCACCTGAGGTCAGGTCGGTCATGTGATTATACGTCAATGGGCAAATAAATGGAATCTGTTTTTTTTTTGCCCCGGGATTGGCATACAACTAGCTAAAACACATGGAATCGTAATCTCATGCACTCCTTGCACGGCCCCATGTTTAACTTCTACATTGTTGACCTTGCGTGACGTCATTAATGACGTCACTAAAGTCATAGCAGTTTTTCGTCAATAGCTCCCGATCATATTGAGCTAGCCTACCAGGAAAGCCACCAATTGACTGAAAAAGGCCTACCGAATTGAATGATTAGCGATACGACCTCCTTCGGCCATCTTTATGACCTGAGTGGGCCTGAGCTGACTTTGTCCCCGAGGTGACCTTTACCTGTCCTTACCGAAACAAAAAGTATATCATTCGACGCGCCTCAGCACGAAGATCACGATGCTGCCCAAATCCCGGCTCTGTGACCAATTTTAGCAATGCTATTAAACAAAAACCTAACGCGTACGACGTACCTTAGGGCGCTTGAACTGGCCAGTGACTGCTTAGGTTACCGGTTGACCTGAGACCTTAACCCTCGCACGACCAGGCCATTTCTCATAACACGAACGACCAGGGGGGGGGGGGTTGTTACGACCCCCCCCCTGGCGTTTCGAAACGGAAGGTCGTAGAGCCTAGCGGAAAAAAACCAACGGATTGCTCTCAACGAGATCTCGCGATTGGTGGTATATTTTTTGGTCCTAGGTCAACATTTGACCTACTTATGACCGGTCAAAGGTCAAATTTTCCGAAAAAATCAAACTTTTTCAACTTTGCGCAACGATTGCGGCAAAACGGTGAGAGATATTAACTTCAAACCTTCAACAACGTATTCCCCACTCAATTCTGCATCATATATGGTGTTTTTGTTGTATTTACCCTATAAAAGTAAGAGGCCTATTGCTGATGAGTGATATGGTGTCACATCACCCTCCGGTGTTTGTCCCGATTCGTCGGCTGTTGACCACTGCTCCGCTATAAATACTGTAGGTAACGACTCAGAAAAGATATGTGGATATCCACTGCAATGTGGATAGCATCAGCAGAAAACCTCGGGACTCGGTACACACTTCGTGAAAATCCGGCCGGAGGCTGTACCTCTTATGACGTCATAACTCCGTGACCTGACCTGACCCGGTCAATTTTCTTGCACCACACGATAGCCAATGCTTGCCCCAACATGCATAGGAAGTTTCATCATGATCCATCAAACAATGTGGGTATCACCGGCAGAAAACCTAGGGATTCGGCGCACACGTTTGGTAACTGTCGGCCGGAGGCTGTACCTCTTATGACGTCATAACTCCGTGACCTGACATGACCCGATCAATTTTTTTTCGGCAAAAGATGCGCAAAGGTTGCCCCAGAGGGTATTGAAAATTTCAGCCCGCTACGACAAGCCGTTTAGCGTGCACTTCGAAAAAACCTCAGGGGGGGGGGGTTGATACAACCCCCCCTAGGCGTTCTAGGGTTAAAATCGAGTACCTGCCGCTGCGTCTCGTAACGACACACACTCATTTTTCCGCGAGGCTTTAGCTCAATTAGGGCGAAACGATGAGGGGGGGCGTACCCTCCCCCTCGGACGGAGCGTAGCAGAAAACCATAGCTTCGGCGAGGGTTAACTTTGTCACACTTCTTCGATCTTACTTTCGCCACCATAACACATTCATATACCGAATGGTGTTAATTTTATGCACTACTAAATTTGCACTGCTCCATTGTTTTGAGAAAGATCGAGATTCCGACTGACGGAGCGTCACGGAAAGTCGACTTTGCACGCTGCTGTGCACACTCTCATGTTTAATCGCTGGAACACGCTGTGTCGCCTGCAGTCAGGAAGACATTACGAACATTTCATAACGTGTATTCCCACAGAACATCGAGAAATGATATCAGCTCAACGTGAGAGTGTGATATGTTACGCGATGGCGGGCGTTGGCAAACTGCCGTGGAGCCGTTTGAACCGAGTCATAACGAGAGTAGTGATGACGAATGGATGGTTGGTTCATCAACGAATGATTCTTTCTAGGATGTCCCAACAAGAAATCCAGATGGTATTTTCATTGGGCAATAAAACCACACAATAAAAGCAAAGCTGATTTGCAGTTAAACGCTGGAGGGAAGGAGGCATCACAACAGTAGTCAGTAGAGCTGCTAACACAGCTGCTAGCAATGTAAGCAAGTAGTTACCTAAAGCCAGTTAAAGAACGAAAGCCAAACGTGCTTATCATTGCTAAAAAACACGGTTTCTCAAGATGTCACGATTTTTTCATAACATTTCCTTTTATTTCTCGGAAGCCGGACACGTTCTTCTAACGATATAGGTATTCGTGTTTATTTCCAGGTCCTCCCCTTCCTGTTCATTTTACTAAAGATCGATATGCCACACAGCAAGAGTCTAAAAAAGAGCATTTTAAATACGTGAATGTGACTTTGATGCATGTAAATACTTGCAGAGAATTGATTATGTCATCCAGAAATATTCGCATTTGTTACACTTCGTGGTGTTATATGCGCCACTGCAGTCTCCTTTTCGGGCTAGTTTAGGTGCTAGTCTTTTGTACATTCGTGCAGTCTCCCTGCGTAGAAACATGACAGCCGCGCCGGCCGAACGCCTGGAGTGGTATGCTGTTCCGCACTACATGAGTTGGATACCGCGGCTGTTGAATGGCTGCCCACTGACCACTGACCACTGACCAGTGCTGGTCGGCTGACTAATGGTTGAATGGATGGTTGCAGAGGAGGATCGCTGGTCATGTGAGAGGGAGTCAGCCGACCTGTATTGAGTAAGATTCGCGTCGAGTTGATGTTTGGACTTCTGCTTCACACTATCCTACCTTTCTAATTGTGTTACCAGTGGTCAAGACTTCTAATGGGAAGTTGTGTCCGACGCTGATGAAAACACGGTCCATGATTGGCATAATTCACTATCACAACACAGCTTAACTTCTTCAAAGCCGGGCTGATGGTGATGGTCTCGCATAATGCGGTTTACGAGTATTTTTGGCTATTTCAGGGGAGTGCGATATTCACTGAAACTTTGTATGCTGGCTGGCCGTGTCCTGGCGTGCAACTATGTCAAGAAAATGTTCTTACCCCCTCTCACCCTGTCGCTGTCAATATTTCTCTGCCTACCTATATCTCTGTTTCTGTATTCACCTGTCTATTTTAATCTCCTCCCCCCTCTCTCTCTCTCTCTTTTCTCCCCATCTCCACCTTCCCTTCCGGCATCTTCAGCATCATCGGAGAGAAACGAGTGCTGACCCGGTCACTAGAAAGCTGATCGCCGCTACCATTATTCGGTGTCGGGTCAACAGCCGCACATAGTTAGTCCAACAAAGGCCAGCCATGCCTGTCAGGGTATCGTCAGCATACGTGAAAACGACCAAGGCGTGTGTTGTCACCGGAGCAGAAAATCATTCCTTCACTGTACCGTAAAAGATGGAGAGATGAGCATCATGCTTATCGATGAAGCACAAAGCTTTGAGCCGATGTGTAAAAAAGTTGAAAAGTTTAGTTAGAATTGAAATTGGAATAGAATGTTGGCTTGCGAGAGTAAACAAAAATGTCTGTAAGAGTCCAAATGCATCTTCACCCTCGCCAGCATTTTGCATCCTTCGACCGCACAAGGGCGACACAACCCGCTGTCGCGTGTGACCCCTTCCCGAGCTAGAACTTTGCGAAATAGATGAGTGCATTGTTCTACGCAAGAGTAAGCTAATAGTAACCAATTTTAAGGCCTCAGGTCGATAGGTGATGTCACAGGTCGGATCAGGACTGTGGAGTCAGAGTAGGAGTCGGAGTCGACAGTTCTGTCCGGAGTCGGAATTGACTTTGTAATGCTCAAAGTCATGCTCGACACCTGGTCCTCGGAAAATATTACACAGGACTGGTTTTGTCGAAGATAAGACCATACTGCCGTTTTGAACGAACAATTTTAGAATGAAAATCAAAAGATGCACCAGAGCCTGTTTTCAGTTCATTAGGGCTAACTTGAGAGGTATTTTGCAAATTAACATCTTGGGACGCGCCAGGAATTGTTTCAGGCAAGCTAAAAGCATCTTCGATATAAACTTTACCATTACAACGCTGGCTTAAAGAGAGATGTCCGGACTCAGAGTTGCAGTCGGAGTCGGAGTAGAAGTTACCAACAATCCATCGAAACCGCAGCCCTGGGTCAGATGAATGATAAAAGTGGGTTTTTATTGTTGGCGAGCAGCTTTGTGATACATGAGAAGTGGCCCCTTTATATCATTCATCAGCCGATTGTTTTGCATTCAATAAACATAAGTCTACCACCCCGAATACCACTGTATCTCCACCATATCTGCCAAACAATGGACATGCGCCGATGATCAGAGCTCGGCCGGGAGGGCGCCCACAGCTCCGGAGAAACCGCTCACTATAAAGGCTCGGTGGGCGCCGGCGGCGGGCCAGTCGGTCGCGCATCACCATGGCGTCTGCACGCGCTGCCTGCCTCGTGCTCCTGGCCCTGGCCGACGCCGCCTCAGCCGGTAAGGTTTCATCATCCTAGCCACCTTGCCTTGGTTTTGTAGTTCGTGTTTACAGCAGCTTTTTTTAGACCAAGCGTTTTTGTTTCAACCATGATTTTGTTCCAACTCATTATTCTAAGTGTCTGTAGCCTGATGTTTATGTTTAACACCAGTATAGCGCCTTTTGGGGCGACTAACGGAGCGAGCGAGAGGGTGAGCCTTGCACGTGCGAAATTTCGAGGGGGTACCTCCAGCTGACTTGTGCACGGCACCCTACTAACCGGTCTCTAGCGATGTGCCAAATTTGAGCACAATCGGCCCAGCCGTTTTCGAGATCTGGAAGCGGCACCCTGCACGTGCGCACGTGCAAAATGGGTCCCAACTGACTTTTGCACGGCACCCTACTAACCGGTCCCTAACCATGTACCAAATTTGAGCGCCATCGGTCCAGCCGTTCTCGAGATCTGGAAACGACCCCTGCACGTGCGCACGTGCAGCAGCACCCCAACTCTGGCACATGGATATGCAGTGCCTAGTGGGTGCCTACCTACATGCCAACTTTCAGCGCAATCGGCCAAGTAGTTACCGAGATATTGCAACAATTACAAAAGTGACACCTCTTCGTTTTGCACGTGGCACGTGCATAAGGGGTCACCCACATGCATCGGGAATAGTCCAATACTTGGTAGAAGGAATGAAGCTACCCCACAAAAATTACCGCATGTAAATCGGTCAAGTGGTTGCTGAGATATAAGCCTCGCAAAAGCGTGACCACGGCCGGCCGGCCGGCCGGCCGGCCGCTCATACTCAGAAATTTCCGTTATTCTACGTAAGACTCCGCTCGCTTCGCTCGCTCCGTAATCAGGGCTTGACGTAAACAAATACAATAGATAAAATATAAGATTTTGACATTTATTTTTATAACTTGTACCATAATATTTTCGCGTATCTTTCGAAAGCAATTCAGCATTTCTTCGATACTTCCCTCCCACAGAGAGCGACCAGTCACCTGACGTGACGAGCCGTAAAGTAACATATCTGTTATCCCTTCCCCAGGTTCGATGCTGAGGAGGAGACAGCTGGACACGTCTGGAGCCCTGCTGCAGGCCTTTGTGTGGGTATTTACTCCTCTAAAAATGTTTCGTGTTCCTGACAAACAACGTTTGGTGATCTATCTATTGATAAGGGCTTATGAGGATTTTATCCATCTATAGACAGTGGGCTGTCTATAAATGTGTAAGTGTATATTGGTCGCAAAATTTGACAACTAATGTAAGATAATTGCTGTTTTCAAGGGCGGCACGCAGAGAACGTTCTCATATAGAAAAAAATATATCTAAGGCTTTCAGGTTTGTTGTGTCGACGCAAAGCAAAAAAAGCGCAAAAAAACTATTAAAAAACTGGAAGAGGTGTGAAATGATAAGGTCTTTGTCATCTTGTATGCCCTATGTGACCTGTTGTGACCTCTGTGACCCGATGTAACTCGCCGTCTTATTCAGCCCCCAGGAGCCACCGGCGCTGGCTGACCCTGCCGGCGCCGAGAACCGCCAATCGGAGGGCGGCTTCAGCCCGCAGATCCCCAACTTCCAGGCCGGCAGCTCACTCCCGCGTGAGTAGAAAACTAACAAAACACTCACAGCAGTCTCGTGAATCTTATGAAAACGTTTGCGAGTTTTAGTGATTTGTTGAATTGATAATATCATACTGGCACTGTGTTGAGTCGAATACCTATTAGGACGGCATCCTAGAAAAAAATGCATCGACATACAGCCGACGCAGTTTTCTTTCAGCGATTATGCACAAACATTCCGGATACGATGTCGGCAACCGTTTCTTACGGCAACCGCTCTGGAAGCACGGTGACTGAAATGAATGTTGCACAGTCACCATGAGTTTGGTGTTACGAACGGTAGATGTTGTTACCAACAGTGGATAATTAGCGAAGAATAGCTCGCATGAGATAATTGCGTTATGTGGCCATTACGAGAGGCAGCTGTGTTGTAACCATTGCGCAGGAGAGCACCCATCATGCAAGACGATGCACGGAGGCATGCACGCGTGACGCAGATGCCGTCACCCACACTCTAGAAAGCATAAAATCACGGCTTCCAGCGTGAAATTATCACGAAAAACTGCCGCGTCGTTGGTCTTTATCATGCCACCTTGCCTACCGAGCCCGCACGAGCACCTGCCGTTGCTCTGACGTCACGCCTGAAGCCGGGACACCTTTGCAGGTGAAGAGCCGACCACCCACGGGCGGCGGCGGAGACGTCAGATCGCGCAGAAGCTGCAGGACATGCTGAACGCGCCGTACAGCGGCCGGCTGCCCACCGACCTGCAGCCGCTGATGCATCAGAGCCTGGAGCGACGGCGGCACGTCCAGCAATTCAACGCCATCCGGCGCAGTGGCGGGCAGCAGGAGGACCTGCGCAGCCGACCCGCCTTCCAGCCGGGCCCGCAGCCCAGCCCGCAGATCGACCGGTTGGCGCTGCCGAGCCTCTTCCCCGAGAGAGACGAGTCGGAGGAGCGGCGTCCCGAACAGGGATTCGGACAGCAGTTCGGCGGCCAGCAGGACTTTCGGTCTCAGCAGGACTTTAGACCTCAGGACGAGTTCCGGCCCCAGCAGGACTTTAGACCTCAGGACGACTTCCGGCCTCAGCAGGACTTCAGAAATCAGGACGAGTTCCGGCCCCAGCAGGAGTTCCGACCCCAGGACGACTTCCGACCTCACGATGAGTTCCGGCCTCACCAGGAGTTCCGTGACCAACAGGACTTCCACCAGCAGGACTTCCGTCCGGAGGACGACTTCCGCCGGGATCAAGGCTTCAGGCCGGAGCAGGACTTCGACCCAAGCCACGAGTTCAACTTTAGCCCGGAGCACGACATCCGTCGTCGGCCGCGCCCGGCTCGCAGGCCACAGAACTCAGGCTTTGTGCCGGACAACGGCGGTCTGTCCAGCCGCCTCTTCAGCCAGATTCGGAGGACGTTCTTTGGAGGCCAGGCGCAGAACCGCCGGAAGAGAAGTGTTGAACAGACCAGCGACGTCTCGAGACTGACACCTCGGCAGTTGTTTGACGAAAGGCCAGCAGACAACGGGCCAGGTGCGTTGACAAACAATGCAGCCCCGACAGTTTTGGCTCCGGTTCTTGCGCTGTAGCGATATGCGATGGACATGGTGCTGCGGAAATGCAGTTCAAAGTGGGACGGGCCACAAAGCGCATTAGTTGAGACAAAACCATAACAACGGACAAACTAGGGAAGTTAAATAAAAGTCAAACCCTGACAGGACAGGTGCGGATAAAGAACGCAGAATTGAATGGAATTCTAATTTACGTGACAAATAACACCAAATAGGTCGGCATATCACACTGCAGAAGGTCTGAAAGTGTATCTATTTTTAAACTACGCTTCCCCTGTCTCCATGAACTAACGGTGGCCTTTTCCTCTTCCGCAGCCGCCGACGAGAACAGCGCAGGTTTCTTCCAGATGCCGCCGGGCTTCCCCAACATGGCGTCCCTGAGCGGATTCGCCGACCAGTTCCAGGACTCGCCCAACGCTGGTGAGTGCGCACACCATGCAAATGTATGAAATCCGCAAAAAGGAATTACATTTGACAATCAAACAATTTTTGGTGTTCAAAGAAATACAATACAACCCTTCCGTGGGATCAATGACCACCGCAGATGCAGCAATGATCACTGAAAGCTGATTATCTACTCAATCGTTGAGAGATCGATAACTACTTTGTGCGAGCTCTATCCGGCGTTCCACGGCTGATCCATGTCTTTTGTTTGTGACTGGCGAGGCGGTCGACATCGTCGTTTGACCCCTCGAACCCATGTTTGTCGCCAGTGAACAACATCGACGTGCCGGGCATCCAGTTCCCGGCCTCGCCGTTCCAGTCGCGCTTCGACGACGAGCCGCAGCCTGTGTTCCAGGACACGCCAGTGAGTCTCCCGCCGCCTCACACTCCTCCTATGTAGTCACTCAGTCACACTAGCTCACTCACCCACTCATTCACAAGCGCTCATTCACTCACTCCAAATTCACAAATTCACTCATACAATTACTCTTCTGCTCTGGGACGTTCACTCACTCGCTCGCTCGCTCGCTCGCTCACTCACTCACCGGCACTCCGAAACGCTCACTCGAACACCGCACACATCCTAAAATAGATGCCGCGTCGCGCCTCGATGAACTCCCAGTCAATCAGTGGGCGGTTGACCCCGGTATCGAGATGAAACAGACTTTCACGAGCGGCCGAGGAGGATGTGTTGGTCGCGCCCGGCCGCCTTCTCCAGGCGTTAGGGAGAGAAACGTGGTACACTGGCCGATACACTGTCAGCGACCGCACCACGGCGGCGAAAGTGGCTCCACTCGAATGGTGATGATAATGAACGAAACCTGTGATCATCTATTCAGCTGAGTTCATTTAAAAACGGCATTCAAAACAATGAGCCCAAGTCGCTAGGTGAGGGATTCAATACCATTAGTACAGTATATCTGAGTCAGCGATAACTCAGACCGTTCCTTACATTTCGTAGGCGACTGTGATCGTATGATATATCATGCCAAAGAGCACTTTTCCAGCTCAGTATACTTGTTTTTCGTTCCAGGCCGGCAGCAACTAAACTCGAGTTCTAAATGTGCCCGCGCGGACTCTAGCACATAGGTAAGTCGATTTTATGCATCACTTTTCAATTTTCATTTTTCATAATTGTATGTTTCATAAATGTATAATGTATTGCATGACAGTTAACTAGGATATGAAATTTCTTATATCTGACGATTAAAACATGAATAATAATTACCGACCATTAATTATAATAACTGGCAGGAAATGACGGGACACCAGTGTTATGTAATTGTATAACTAGTTACATCGAAGTTTTCCTCGGTGTCGGGATACACGCTACCCAGTAGCTCTCTCAAGCCGTCGCCGGCGGCGGCTGTCCACCGGCGCCGCTAAAAGTGAGAGTATCACCCGGGAGGGAGGTAATGGGCCGGAGAAACGGCCGCATCGGACGGTCACGTGAGCGGACGGAGGGGTGACTCACAGTTCACACACCATGCCATTGAATGAAAACGGATGGCGGACGCAGACAAAAAGTGTAGTGGCGTTAGTCAAGAGCGTAACTGCAGGGGCAGTCAATAAGTTAGGTATAGGTATTTCGGCCAGAGAATCAGAATGATCTGACCCGTCGTTTCTCTGTCTGTTTCAGGTGCCAGAGCCGGCGCTGCGCCCCTCCCCCACACTACTCCAGTGACCGAGCGCCCCTTTCAGCTGACCCGGCGGCGGCGCCGCTCGGCGCCGTTCCCTCGCGGCGGCGGCTGGCGGGACGCCCGCCGCCACTCCCACCACGGCCCGACGTACCCGGCGTACCCGGTGCACGAGCGGCACGACCCCGGCCCCGGCCCGAGCGGCGGGCGCTACCAGCTGCCGCTCAGCCCTGTGCCGTACCGCGCGCCGTTCGACGAGGCTCGTCACCCGGTGCTGCCGCCGCCGCCGCCGCGGCACCCGGCGCGGGCCCCCTCTCCCACCTCGCCCCGGCCCGGCTTCCTGGAGGGATTCCGGGAGCCCTTCCCGGCCCAGGAGCGCTCCAGCCTGCTCGGCTCCGGTAATTACATCATCCTCCGTGGCGGATCGTTCGTCGACGACTACAGCTACCTCGACAACCACCTGTCGGCGCGGCCGTACCCCGACCGGCGGCCGGACATCATCGACAACTTCAGGGACTTTGCCGAGTTCGCGCACGGCTCCGAGCCGGCCTACAGCCTGGCGGTGCCCGAGAGACGTATGAGCACGTCAGAGACGAGTACGGACGTTGTCAGAGCATCTGCTGAGAACAGCACGGAGGCCGATACTGCCGAGATCCAGAGCACAGCGGACGGAGTGGAGATAGAGGAAGAGAGTGAGGTTGAACTGAGCGGGGAAGGTGAGAATCGACCTCGCCAGGCGGCCAACATTCAGGAGATCTTGTCTGATATCTCCAACGACGTTCAGGCCGACCGACTGCCCGATCACGGCACCAGCCATGTCAAGAAACGCGTGTTGAAAGACAAGCGTCTGAGGCTACGCCGTCAGCGCCAGAAAGAGGCGAGTCTGGAGAGCCGGCTGTCAACCGAGCCGGAACCCGAGGATCCAATGGTGGCAACCTTCTGAGCTCCGGCCGCCCGGCCCATCTGACCCCGCTCAAGCATCGTCATGATCATAGCGTCCGGGCGCCGCGGCCGCGCCGCCGTCACCTCCATTCATCAGCGAGTTTCTCCTGTAACTCTTTGTCTCCCTCGGCCTGGCCCATCAGATCGACCGTCCCTGTTCAGGGGCTGTCGGAGAAAGTCCAGTCCAGCGCCGGCCGCCGCCGCCGCTGCCGCCCGACTTTCACTCTCAGACGGGGAAAAGTGACGCCGGTCGGGCCATCCGGGCACGAGTCACGCTCGGTCGCGCACCGGTCTGTACAAAAAGCGGCCCGTGTCGACGATCCGGTACTGGCGCCGAGAGAGCGGCACCGGCCTCCGGTAAACGTCGGCCGAGTTACGAGGGGGACGTATTTCAGGGACTGGAGGACATGGGAGTAGTGTGGGGGACGCCGGCACAGGGCAGAGGAGACCTCCCCAGGGAGGGAGGTCCGGGGTGCGTCTTGTCCAGCGGCACCAGAGGTCCTTTACCACCACTCCATGTCTTTCATTGTTGTTACGTATTGGTGTAAGCTGAGCGGAAATGTTACGTAGCGTGGCGGAATAATTACAGTATTGTCAGCAGGTTTCTCTTCGAATTAGTTACTGTTATGCCAAGTAGTACATGCCCGCTAGTGATCTGCTGGTACTCAGCCTTGTACAACGAATCGTATTTTTGGTTGATTGTGATGCAAGTTGTCAATGATTGAGAGCGTTTGGATGGTATTCTTGCTATCAAAATACATCTTGAAAACGCACCACAGGTTTTGGACAAGACACACAGAACAAACAACTCTCGAGATAAATGAGTTGCAAAATGAGAAACAATGGATCACGGTTGAAAAGGAACGAATAATGTTGCGAATATAGAGAATGTCGATTGAAATAGTGGTTATCGGCCATTAACAATCGCACACCAATCAAAACGTACCATCTATCTGAGATAGCTGGAGTCTAAACTACCTACTTCTATGCATTGTTTGTAAAGCCAAATCACTTTATCGCACAAACGTTAATTCGCATTCGCATCAGTTAACACACAACCATGATACTTTGGGAGAACGGGAACGCCTGAGTAAAACCAGACTGACATACCCATAAACAAGAGCGCCTTCCACTACAATTGAGCAATGCTAGCATATTGTGACAAACTCCTCTAATTTAGCCACAACATTCGTAAATTTTGGGGCCAAATAAGGTTCGATGAGGTCCATGGTAAAGGTCCATGTAAAGGTCCATGAGGTAACGAAGCTCCGAACATAGCAATTCTCTTCAGAACGACAGAAAAAAATCGAAAGCTTTCTGTATCAGCCCTCGCCCACAAATCAATTAATAACACGGCGACATAACATCGAGACGGTAAAAAGCCACTAATTATTTGGCCAATCTGTAGAAACCGGGCTACAATACCAATGAGCACCAGTCATGTATGCATGATTCTCATCCTGCTTCTAGGAAGTCTTACCATTCATGGCACTTGTCGAAGCTATGATCTTACTAATGGTTGTACGGGTACTACAGGTTCTCGAAGCCCCTTAGAAGAGCGTTCATGCGCGTAGCCATCCAGTAGTGAGAGTTCCATTAGGGTCGCTTCGCTGCTTGAGCTCCCGACTAGATATTCTGCGGCCAATGAATATGGCCGCTTCAAGTCAGATGAAATCGATGAGCGCAAACAGCCGCGTCCGGCGATCTTGAAAGGTCCAATACTTCCTCTTTATTCCGGCAATACAACACGCGTTATACAGGGTGACACAAAAAAGCGGTCATCACCAAAATTCGAATAACTTCGGAAGTTTTATTCAGATCATCACCAAACTTCGGCCACTTTAGGTCACACCTATGTAGCAGACATCCACCAGGTTTCAAGTCTTCACTACGAATACTTTTAGTACAGTGTGTGTTTTACGGACGCTCCACAATGTGCTCCAGGTGAGCGCCCCGGCGCTGCAGGGCGTAGGCACACCTGCATCCGGCGGGCAAAGTTGCCGATAACCCGATAAGAATAACGTTTCAGGGGTAGCACACCCCCTGAGCACTGTCTCCAGAGGCCATTGCACTCTGTAAAGTGCACAGCCATCGGGTTATCGACAACTTTGCCCGCCGGATGCAAGTGTGCCTACGCCCTGCAGCGCCGTGGCGCTCACCTGGAGCACATTGTGGAGCGTCAGTAAAACACACACTGTATTAAAAGTATTCGTAGTGAAGACTTGAAACTTGGTGGATGTATGCTACATAGGTGTGACCTTAAGTGGCCGAAGTTTGGTGATGATCTGAATAAAACTTCCGAAGTTATTCGAAATTTGGTGATGACCGTTTTTTTTTTGTGTCACCCTGTAGGTATTACCTACACAAGACCACGGATATGTCAAAAAGCACTTCACACAGTTCAGCCGCCGCGCTGTTGCGTTAACCTAGAGAAAATCTAGCCATAACGTTTTAGCGTCAGAGGAAAAGAGAGGCAAAATCGCTGACATTTTTAACCCCAGTAAGGTTATATCTTCTGCCCATGTGATTGATAACTTTTGCCGAGGTTGACATGAAACAACTGTCACACAATTATTGCACATTGTACAAATACTTGTAAGAGTATTTGCATATACACTAAACACACCCATGAATGGAAAATAGAGTCACAGCGCATGCAAAAGCGTATCCGCATTCTGCATAGTGCATAATGCGTTTCGGATTCTACTACTCCCCGCACCTATTGTGTCGCCTGCACCGCCACGAAACCACGTATGCGTTCCACCTTCATCTGAATTAACACTTTCAGGCTTAAAAAATGGTTCCCGCAATTAAAATAAATATCCAACACAACGACAGGTTGACGTAACGTTTTGAACTTATGCACCACCTTCCGTCACGCAGACGTTTCTCTGTTCTGTTATCGTATATTCATGATTGGCGGTAGTTGGTATTACAAAATTTCACAGAGCCCATCCTACGGAGCACATTCCACAGAACACATTCCACCGAGCACATTCCACGAGTAAATTTCAACGAGCACATTTCAATCGGCATATTCCACGGGGCCTAAGACGAAGCACGTTCCACGAAGCAAGTTGGAGGAATACCATCGCGATGCATACAAACCAATGTTGCGCGCTCTTTTAGCGCCTCAAACTGTTTGCGCTGCAGTATCAACTATAAAGCTTTATACTGCCACCTGAGACTTATACCGCCATGTTTTAGGGATAGAAATAGCCAAGTTTTAAAGCAAATATGTTGGACGTCACTGGAACATAGCTACAAACGATAGAAACCTCCAGCATTTGCCTGGTATTCTAACTCCTAGTCCGTATTCTCGTAAAAACAAAAACAAATCGTCCCGTTGGCATGGAACCACAACACATTCAGAGAATATTACAACACGGGCCCTATTTCAAGCATTGCAACGCCAACATCGCACGCACGCGTGCATCTCAATGTACCCGGCACACGACAAACACAGCATTCAGAGGGCACCAACAAGCAAGTCACGTTTCACATCAAAGGCAATCCAAACACGATTACCAACCGCATCGAGAACAATCTGTCCCCGGCACTCGCTTCACGATGAAAGTACGAGCCGCACGCGCGTTGACGCAACGGTCACCGCTCGCCCGCACGTTTGCTGAAGTCATTTGGTGCTTCAGTACTTTTGTAACAGTTCGGTGACGACGCCACGAATCCACTGAAGCCTGACGCCGCTGACCACCTCTGGCCATCCGAGCCGAACGGCGACCTTCCCTGTTCCCAGAAGATATCTCCCTCACAGGGTGATAAACAGCGCCATCCGGCGGCAGGGCCGAAAGCTTACCTTCCTAGAGTCCGCCGGGCAGCGCTACCGTCGTTTCCGGGCCACCGTCCAGCCATCCTCGTCTGTTTGCATTGACTCAGACTGTGGAGGGTCGCGCGCGGCGGGTCGGGACGGCCCTGGTGTCACCGGCGCCGCAGGGGACTCATCGTCGTCGTCAGGGTTCACAGCTGGGGCCTGCCGGAAGAAGCCAAATGATATGTTATTGACATGGAATGGCGAACAAAACGTACCATACAATGACAAGAAAGTTCACCCGTCCGTCGTTTCCATTCTCAGGACATTTATATCCTTCTCCACGCCGCAACCCTCGGTCCGGGCTGGACAAGCAGCTTTATCTCAGGCGGGCTGCTCCCTTGGAGCGGCACCGCTACTCCCAGGGAAGCACACCCGTAGCCAGGTGCAGAGAGTGCTTGGGGGGCTGGTCGGCCTGTCCTTCGGGACGGGCTGAGCCTCGGTGACTCACTAGGGTGCCTGCTCAGACCAATGTCTCCCCCTAATTCCTATCATCCTTCCAGCTCTGAAATGGTCTTGTCAGACCGAAAGGGCCTAACACAAAAACAAGTAAACAAACAAACAAACAAACAGACAGACAAACAAGAATGATATGATTTGAGCTGACCAATGAGTTATTGTATATTTCAGAGCTGAAATTACTTGACATTGTCAACTTTGGTAGAGCGATTGCTACATACACATCATGTGAGCGTCCATTATTGTTATTGACAATAATTGACCAATGAATGGCACCACACAGTTTCTAGAGACCGGCACCACTTGAAGTGGGACATTTTAGAATTATGTTCCGAGCTACGCGATAATGGAAATGAGCTTTCAGAAAAGTGAGTTATGTGGATAACAGCAACAGCTGGGACCGATAAACCAGCGCCGCGCTGAAAACAACACTAACCGCTCTGGCCGCCAATGTTTATTAAGGAGGCCATATATCATCACGCCTTTCCGAAGATTCTGCCACGGGGGGATGACATGCACGAGCTTCCGAATCCCAGTTGTGGGAGAGTCGGGCATCTCAGTAGTGAGAAAGTCGGACCTCCCAGCTATACAGTGGTGAGAGCCGGTACGAGACGAACTCTATAATCAATTGCGACGAGCATAATTTACGGTCAATTGGTCGTATTCTAGGCCAGATTGAGGCATAATTAACGAGATTGACCAACTACGATTATTAGAGAAAGGCATTCGATCCCAATTTTTCCAGTATCTCCGGGATATATCAAACACTATTCTTACAAGCGCCTGCGCCCTGCCAACAAGTCCTGATGTGCGACTAGGTTTTCATCTAAAAAATTATCATAAACAAAGAGTTCGAACTTTCAAGACATTGCTATGCAGTGTGCACATCAGCTAGCAGCTTTCCACCTCGCACCTGTCTTTGCCCGCTGGGACATCTCACAAACTCCCGGCTTCCTCGTCATGTAGGTGCTTGTCTGTGCCCGATGAGGTCGCCCGGCTTGGGTAGTTACTCGTTAAGTACCCTCTATGTGTGTATTCGCTACTCATGCTCCTACCAGCAGTGCGTTCTCCCTGTCTGTGTTAGTCAAGTACCTGTCTGAGACTCCGACTGGCCGCTGGCACCGCTGGTACATCACCCCGTGGTCCACTGAGAAGGACACCACTCCTTCCCGTGCCTGTCTGATCACCCCTCCCGCCCATAGGTACCTGTCTGTGACGGCTGTGACACCGCACCCGAGATGTGCCCGCTGGGACATCTCACATAACTCCTGGCTTCCCAACCAGGCACGTGACTGCTTGGGTCGGCCAACACGGGTAATTAGTAGTTACCCTCTGTGTGTGTACTCATGCTCCTCCCAGCACTGCGTTCTCCCTGTCTGTATCTGAAGTGTACCAGTCTGAGCTAAGACACTGGCCGCTGGTGCATCCAAAATTCCTTTACTACTCAGGTTGGTTCACTAGGGAAATAAAGGCGCCGTGGTGACGTCATCAGAGGAAATCATTCACGTTCAAATGAAGGGGTCATTTGAATCGCTGATTTTGGCTCGATATAGTCCTTTTTTTAGTTTCAGCCCCATTTATCGTAATGAGGCAAACTCATTGTTACATTGGTGCAGCTTTTGATGACTCATAGTCGTTTTTTTTCTTTCTCCACCTCGCTCGAAAGATGATGAAATTTGCATGCATGCCTATGGGTGAAGGGAGATTCTACCACCGTGGTGACGTCACGATAAAGGGATTCTGGAGCTCGTGAACGGGGGCTGGGTGCATCACCCGGCCCCCATGCCTGTCTGTGTTCACTGGGACACCACTCTAACCCGTACCTGTCTGTTCAGTGTTCACCTCTCCCCTCCCGTGCCGGTTTGTGACTCCTGAGACACCTAACCTGTCTGTGCCCGCTGGGACATCTCACGCGACTCCCGGCTTCCCAGTCCCGTCCCGTACCTGTCTGTGCCCGCTGAGGTCGGCCAGAGTGGGTAGTTACTATCTGTGTGTGTAAGGCTCCTCCCAGGTTTGCGTTCTCCCGCCCCGTACCTGTCTATGTCCACTGAGGTCGGTCAGAGTGGGTAGTTACTATCTGTATGTGTAAGGCTCCTCCCAGGTTTGCGTTCTCCCGCCCCGTACCTGTCTATGTCCACTGAGGTCGGCGGGCGCCGGCAGCTTGGCCAGCTCGGCAGTCACCTCCTCGGCCCTGCCGGCGGCACAGGCGCGGAAGCCGCTGCACAGGGCGCCGCACACCAGCTCCAGAGAGCCGTCCTGGATCCACGTGTCCAGCTCCGTGTTCAGAATCTCCGCCAGAAAGTCGGTCACTTCGTCCGGGTATAGGTCCGCTGGGGGAGGGAGGGGTAGGTCAGTTGGGGGCGTCGGTGCAGGAGGGAATAGATAGACATTCAGTTTCTGTGTGGGGTACATAACAGCAGATATACTCAGAGGAATTACAAGTAAACTTTTAAATCTATTCTGCATGAAGAAGCACAGTTCTGCAGAGGAAAGAACAATGTGACTGCAAGCACTTTCATAATTATGAGGTGCGAATAAAATATTTCCATTTTAAGTCTGACACAGAGTTACATAAATAAAAATTGTTAATCTTATTAAATCGTTTACTGAGTTACTCACTAGGTGGGAACGGTAAGATAACATGGTGGAAAAACTCACCATTCTCATAAAAGAAGGTTTCTGTTGAATCTATGAGCCAGGAGAAGAACTCTAATCCAATGGGACCAGGCATAACTTCTCGCAAGGCAAGCTGCAAATAAAAAGAATAATAGGTGATGAATAACTTTGATAATTCATAGCAAATAAGGAAAATTCTAAAACATTGATGACTAATGGTTAGTGAGTAGTGACTACATATAAGCAGTACATAAGTTAGGTCTAATATACTGATACAATATACATATTTTGCACCTTAAGTACCAAAACACCCAAAACAGAAAGAACTGCATGAATTTTGAAACAGCACATATTATAAAAAGATGTACCAAGCAGAAGCTCTCTAACAATGTCCACTCTGGATTCAAACAATACTTTTTGAAAACTGGGATATCATTAGGAAGTACCTGAAGTGAAGACCAAGTCTTGAAGTGTCTCTCCACACATTCCCTGAATACAGGATGTCTGGCAGAACCTGATGCCATCCTCAAGTCTTGAATTTCAGTGACTTGTTCAGGCAAAGATTTACCTGAAACGTGTCAGTGAAAAGTTTCAGCAAGGAAGGTAAAAAAAGCTAATTGTAAGAAAAATCAAAGTCAGACTAAACTTATGTGTCAAACACCACTGGCCTGGCCAGGCATGGCACCTGGCAACAAAGAATGGCCATTTGATGAGATCTCAATCTTATGAAAGTTGGGTCAACCAGAACTGGGCACTCACAGTCACACTGTGATAAAGCTTATGTCTTTAGCATATTAATGGGGTAGGTAACTCAGCTGGTGCTTAATTTGTGGTATTGCAGAATACAGATTTCCAGCACGATGCACATGAAAATGACATTGTGCCGTGCACACAGATTTTGCACAGATCAGATTGGCGCAGCCCACAATGCCCTCTATAGTCTATACCTAAGGACATGCTCAACTGTTGTGGTATGATGCACAATTCTGGCAAGATAAATGGTTGATAGGAAACATAGACCACCTTTCCTGTTTCCATGGCCACTTTCCTGTTTCCATGGCCACTCATGATCCGGATCAGCAAATTTAAATCTTATAATATTTCTAAAACTCTTTTCACAGGCTATAATTCAGAGTGGATTAGGCTCATACGATCAGTGAATTCCTTATTTCAATTTTCATAGGTATACCTATTGGCTGCTATAATGGATTAGCTAATCCACTTTTGCTGATCCGAAGCATAGGTGCCCATAGAAACTGGGCTATATTCAACAAGTGGACATGAACAATTTCTACTAGGTAGGTTGAAACATTTTACTTTTGCAAGCACAAACTTTTCAAGTTGGTAAGCCCTTGTTCCCTGATGCAGGCTGACGCTACTGCTAGCTTATCCCCACCTTATCCCCTTGGCCGTCCACTCATTCCTGGCTAGAACGAGGTGAATTACCTAGAAATAAAATCCCAATAAAATGCAATTAGGAATATAAAGTCGAATCAAGTTATGATAATTGATAAACACTTGGTTCACTTGGACATACGACACCACTTTACACACTGACACACGTGCGCCGTGCAGCTGCACAAGTATAAGCACTGAACTCTATAATGTGGAATGCGCGCGTATTTACAAATTGCAACCGAGCTCCGCCGTGGGGTAAGGTGGGCAGGGGTTTTCACACTACGGCTGCGGTTGAACTACCGTCTGTGGTAGAAACTTCAGGACGATGGCGCGTTTCATACGAAATGTGGCGCAATGTTTGTTTGCTTCCGAACTTGTACTGTTATTGCTGTGAATTCTTGAAGTGGGAGTGTTTCAATAACAATTTGTGGATTATTTGAGTTTCTTTATATAAACATAGAATAGTATTATGAAACATTGTGTGGAAACTGCAAATACTGATATGATCAATTACTTAGTTTGGGAATTGATACACATTTTATAGATTTGTCTGGCAAACGCAGTTTGGGAATTGATACACATTTTATAGATTTGTCTGGCAAATGGTGTAACAAACCTCAAGCCTATCATGATCTGAAGCTGTTGTAACAAATCAAAATTGCTTTGATGTTACGTAGTACCTTGTTGGAAAGACTGGAGCATGGTTCAAGATGATGTGTAAAAATTCAAGATTTGTGGGAAAGCTTGTGACTGAAGAATGAAAACAGTTCAATATGATGGCTCAATCAAACATGGAAATGGACAACAAAAGTAGAGTTTCAACATTCCAGCATGTGAGAATAACTTCAGAAATTCATAATTCTTGTAGTATTGCATTCTTCTTATGTACAGTTATAGGTTTTGCTAGGGTATTTAAAATTCATTGTGTCAGTTGAGATATAGATGGATTGCGGACAAATTTTAGAATCATTGCATGGTAGCTAGGTATAAGGTACTTGTTCGGTAAAAAGGTATGTGATGAATGCCATGAGAAGGTTTTTTTATGATTTAATATATGGTCGTTGTTGTACCTACAAAAATGCAAGCTTACTAGCAACTAGTTTCTGAATCAAATCGAAAGTGTTTGCCATGAATGTTAATATGTACCTGCAAAGTATGTTAATAAATTTGTGTGATGTTGACCAGAGAGCAGGGATGCGGAGCCGTGGAAATTTCAGACGGCTCCGGCTCCGGTTCCGGCTCCGGAGAAAAAAATCGGCTCCGGCTCCGGCTCCGGCTCCGGGTGAAATGTCATGGCGGCTCCGGCTCCGGCTCCGGCTCCGAGTAAAATGATCCGGCTCCGGCGGCTCCGGCTCCGGCTTCTACTCAGTACATCCACTATGCGATCAATTAAATACGGGTTGAAGAAAAAAGGCGATGGGATTGGTACACGTTGCTTCTGTATTTGTATAACAAGGCTATTTTGAATACCACATTGTTTTACGCCTTGTACTGTCAAACCGAACTAGGTAAATAATTGTTCCCTCGTAAGAAAAGGAGCCGGAGTCGCCCCCTTTTTTGACGGCTCCGGCTCCGGCTCCGGCTCCGGCTCCGGCTCCGGCTCCGCATCCCTGCCAGAGAGCTTTATCATCTGGGCATTTATGTCGCTTCTTACATTAGGTGTTAAGCATAGTAATTACGGATGAACTTTGTGCCAATATCTTCAATGCACAATGTATGTAGCATGTCTACAACCCTCACTGATCCTGCTATAGCTATAGGCATTTGGCACCAGCAAGACCAAGGGCATGAACTTCACAGTTGCTCAACCTTTTGTCATGTAACACCAGTCACTTTTTTATAGTGCACATAGCAGTGCACACAACAATGTGCAGAGGGCCTACACAAAAACAACATGATTAGTGTGCACTATGCACAGGATTGTACCCTGATAATTTGAATATTTTGATCACTCAACAGTCAACAGTCAGGAGATAACTATTAAATATCACATTTATTATACATCACTTGTCAAACAAGAGCATGATGATTGATGACACACATTTTGACAAGCAATCATGGTAGTATTCCAATAAGTTGGACAGCCATCTCCCTGGGCGTCATTTTTTTCCAGGAAGGTAACCGCAGGTTGTTTGAAAAGACAAACACTATTCGTTAGAATTGTGTTTTTCTATTGAAAAACAACCGGAGCGGTCCTTCTCCGGGCTATGTTTTGCAAGTCTGGCCGCGAATCAGTACAACTTGACCGGGGCCTAAACGAATCGCTCAATCTTCGTAAAAATGTCAGGGTATGGGCTCCAGCAGGCGATCTACCTGATGGCACTGGTCGCTACTCGCTTAAAACCTCGTGGCACGTGGCACGTGCGTTTCAATTTTCGCCCATGTTAAGTCAACGGGGTTTTGGACACTTTTTGCGCGATCGCGAATGGCGGAAAAACGAGCCAAGAAGGCGGTGGTTTTCTTTCTAGAATTTTATGGCAAACATGTTTGGGTACACGCTAGTGTGCGCCGTATACCCCTCAGAATTTCGTAACGTGCCTTTGAACGAGGTCAAAGTTGAACTTTTTTCGCTCCCCATGTTAAGTCAATGGACGTTTTTGCAGAGACATTTTCATTCGTTCATTGCACAAAATTATATGATACGATTTTGTTTAAACTTGCAGGACCTGTTGAGAAACGACCATAGAACATGTTGTTTTGCTTCGTTTTGAAATATAATGGCCCGTTTTGGGGTAATCGGCACGTGCATTTTCCCATAGGGTTAACATGGGAAAAATTAAAATGCGATTTGCGAAAAATTTCGTCAATTATATTTGCTGATATTTTTAGGGTCGGATCTCGGGCTGGCACCCCAACTGACGGTGGTAATTACTTAAAATATAATTGACAAAATTTCGGGTAATCGTCACAAACAGTTACCCCATGTTGAGCCTATGGCGATTTCGAAATATTATTTTCAAATCGATTTTGTGAAAAATTTCCACGTTAGATTTTGAAAATGTTCCAATATGTTGTGCCCCGGGGTTTCGGCTACCACAAGGTATGGGTCAGATATGAGGCGATTGAAAAGCACGTGCCACGTGCAAACGTGTTTGATGGGGTAACCTCCGGGAAAATCCGACATTGGCCTACTTGGGGTCCTATGGCGTGGAAACGACTTCAACTAGCGACACCAAATCAGTGCAGCCGGTGAGCAGATGAGTCCAGCTTGTCGCACTAGTGGTCACGTGTCGCACGTGCTATTGCACGTGCCGTGGCACGGGGTCAATTTTGGTGCTTAAGTATACTAGCATTGTGAAATGCAAGGAGTGGGGGAAATAGCCGTCAGGCCGTCAGTTTTTGTGATAGGGTCGATCTGAAAACGGGTTTAGGCACAGAATGAAGGGGGCTAAAAAACTGCTATCTCGGATTTTTTGTAAAATGAAAAATTTAAAATTCTGGGGAAATTATATGTTCGAAAGGTGAAATTTCCTAAAATTTTCCCGTTTTTCGAGTTTAGCCGTCCACTGTTCAGAGACGTTGACACCGGCCGGGGTCATCTTTTACATGCTGATGGCCACGTCGATGGGTCATCACGTGGCGTGAACGGTAAAGCTATCAGAGGTCCGGCACGTGCCACGTGGCCACGTGTTTGAGTCGCGTACCTCCCAGATTATCGTGTGTTTGCCGATTTGTGGCCTTATAGCACGAAAACAGCACAAGCCAGGAACACTGAAATAGTGCAATCAGTGAGGGGACAAGTCCTGCTTACACTAACGGCGGTCACGTGGCACACGTGCAAATTTGGGCACCTCCGTTGCGGAGATATTTTATAGTGAAATATTCAAATGAACATAACTTTGTCAGTTTAAGTCCAATTGGGCTAGACTTTGGTGGGTGGATAAAATTGTTAAGCGACAGGAACAAATGCGCCACGTTTGTCGCAGTGCGCCACGTTTGTCTCAAAGCGCCATTTTTGCCACAAATCACAGAATGTGCGTAACTTTATCGAACATGGGACGATTAGGATGCGCTTTGATTGAGGGCTGGCTGCTTAAACGGCAGATATGAATACACCACACTTGCCGCAAGGCGCCATATTTGTCTTAACCGCAGGTTGTTGTTTCATTAGATTCAAGATAGCACACCGACTCCGGTTAGCACACCGACTCCGGTCTGCACGTGCAAGGCTCATCCTCTCGTTTGGCGGCGGGCGTTTTTGCTGCGTAACCGCAGGTTGTTTGAAAAGACAAACACTATTCGTTAGAATTGTGTTTTTCTATTGAAAAACAACCGGAGCGGTCGTTCTCCGGGCTATGTTTTGCAAGTCTGGCCGCGAATTGGGGCAACTTGAGCGGGGCCTAGACGAATCGCTCAATCTTCGTAAAAAGTTCAGGGTATGGGCTCCCGGAGGCGATCTACCTGATGGCACCGGTCGCTACTCGCTTAAAACCTCGTGGCACGTGGCACGTGCGATTCCATTTTCCCCATGTTAAGTCAATAGGGTTTTGAACACTTTTTGCGCGATCGCGAATAGCGGAAAAAATCGCGGAACAAGGTATGGTTTGCTGCACACCATTTTATGACCGACACGTTCAGGTACTTTACAAAGGTGCTTGCTCAAACAACCTGCGGTCCCGCGATGCGGAGCCCAGCATCGCAGATGCTGGTACCTCTGCAGGTGTTGTGGTAGGCCTAGGTTGAATTGGGCCAAGTTAGGCGAAGTAAGGTGGTTATGACCCGGTCAGACCGTAAGGCCTGGTCAGGTTGATTTTAATCTTTCATTCTAATTTGACATAGATACCTATTACCTATGTTTTTGCTCCAGCCTGAATTTCATTAGATAATGAGTTAATTTTGCTTTGTTCTTATCTGTCTTGTTTTGTGTTTTTGTCCCTTATATTTTGCCCCATAGGCAAGGGTGGAGCTTTTCCAGGGAAGGTGGTCCGTGGTGGAGCATGATTGGAGGCGCTCCACCAGACGGCATAGGAGGGCACGGTTTCTGAACGCGCACTGATGCCTGATTCAAGCCACGCTGTCTTCATGCGTGGCGGCGCGCTACTTAACCCTCGCCCGCACATGGGGGGGTTGCCACCCCCCCCAGGCAGTCTTTCTGCTCTGCACTCAACATTTTTAGAGCTAGAAGGCTGATTT